CTGACACTTGTATTCGGTACTGTTTGCATTTTGTGTAACTTTACGCAAAATTACCGTAAGGTACCCAAAGAAAAATGGTTTTGGTTGTTGGTCTAAGTTCTGCTTGCATCTAACGGCATGAGAGACGTTGTGAACCAACTCTGCGCAATCTATGGATGTCTCCATGGTTTGAAGACTGGTACATACGTTGGCAGGATGCCATCAAAGAGGTTTTGCAGAACGTAGCTAGCTCTACACACAATATTTCAGACTTGAATGCGTCGGAGCTACTTTGGTAGTCCTATTTGTATATCTTTCTAGATTTGACAAGTGTTCAATTCAATAGTATGCGGTATACAAATTGGCGTTTTCCGTTAGCTACCGTTTTTGCCATCGGTGCAGTGTCTAGGAATCGAAGCACACACAGCTTGAACTCGTACGTACTTAAGTAATCGCAACGAGCGCTCGTACTGCTTTGGCCGCGCGTCACCTCGCTTTTTAAGCGCGTTCTACCTGTTCGCGCCAGTCAAAATGGCGTAACGCAACGAGCGCGGCTATCAGGCTCCGAGATTGAATGTCTTATTTCAAGTGTGAATTATATGGCTTTCATTGGATAATCGAAAGTGTGCTCTATGATATATATGTGCTCTATGATATTGTGCTTTGCAACCGGTTTTCCCTCCTAATTAGTGCACTAGATAGTGTTCGTACTTAGTGGTAAATCATAGTGGCTTTGAAGTCGTGTTTCGAAGCCAGCTTGGCTCGGAAATGGCACTTTCGGAAAGTGCCAAAAGGATGCTAATCCATGCTGGATGTGCTAAATCATGCAGGAGATGACATACGCGCGAGGAATTAAGTTTCAAGTAGATTGAAGCCTTTTTGTAAAAGTCTAAGTAGGTGAATGCATCAATTTGCAAGTAGATTGCCACAGTCAAAAATAACGTTTTATCATATCCGAATTGAACGTTAATTTTATGGGCAAAAATAACTGTTTTCCAGGGCCAAGTAATATCGTACGAAATTACCTTTTTAGAGTAAGAGTGTCGTAATGCTAATGTGTAAGTTTACATCATCGCTTCGTAGAATTGTATGCACGCAGACCAAACCAACGCACTTGGTTCTGTATTAAAACTTCGTCGGCCGCGCGTCTGATAAGTACAGTTGGGTTTGT